CCTCATGGGAAGATAGACGACTCTCCTAGAGAACTTAAAATTTATAAGATCTCTGTAAATCCAAATTACGGTCATGCTTTGCTTAACGTCCACAATGCATTCTGTGAAATGGGACATTATGTGATTTGGACGTTGTGAGAACACCACATTATTTTGTTATTCTCGGAATAAGAATTAATAGCAAAATAATCGAGACTCCCCTCTCCTGGGCCCGGAAGCATCACACCAGGAACAGTCCTGCGGCACCATGTCCCGTGGGCTTACTTACCTGTTGGAGCCAGGGTCTTCCTTTTCTTCCCCAGGGATAGGGTGGGTGGACACGAAACCATGCCTAGGGTAGGTGGCCATTTCCCCCTCCCAAGCTACTTATGGGACCTGAGAGCTGGAATGAATGAGGATGGGGCGGAGGAGCAAGACTCATATTATTCACCGTAATATTTCGTGATTCTCTGAATGAAGCAAAAGGTAACCTTATGTAACCTTATGGGACCACGGACATATATGCGGTCGAATGTCGCTGGAACAGACGTTAGGTGGTGCATGATTGCATTAGCATAATTATTCTTACAAAAGAAAAGAACGATAAGCTCTCGGGAATATTTTAAAACATGTGCTCATGCTCATTTCTGGTTGGCTTTTGGCACAGTGGTTAAGAGCTTGGCTGCTAACCAAAAGGTCAGCAGTTCGAATCCACCAGCTGCTCCTTGCAAACCCTACGAGGCAGTTCAGCTCTGTCCTATAGTCAGAATCAACTCAGTGGCAATGGGTTTATTCCACCCAGCGCTCCCCCAGAGTGAGCAAGGGAAGGGTCAGTGGGAGACCAGCTCTCCCCTCAGTTTCACAGGACACCCCAGGCCTGAATGGGAGGGTGGTCCAGAGTAGGTCAAAGGGAAGGAAGGCACAGACGTGAGGACAGGTGGATGGCTGTCCCACTTGATGTTTTCCTGATGTCTTAAGCAGGTCGCTGACGTGTGTAAGTTTATACCTCAGAAACCCCAGGAGGGCAGCAAGGGAAGGACTGCTGTCCTCCAAATATATATATATATATATATATATATACACACACATACATATAAACATTTTATTGTATTTTAGGTGAAAGTTTACACAGCAGATTAGATTCCCGATTCCCACTCAACAATCATACACAAATTGTTCTGTGACATTGGTTACAATCTCCATAATGTGTCAGCACTCTCACCATTTCCACCCCGCCTGCCCAGTTTCCATCCATCCAGTTTCCCTGCCCTTCCTTGTCTTTCATCTTTGCTTTTGTGTAAATGTTGACCATTTGGGCTTGTATAGCTGATTGTTTAAAAGAGCACATTCCTCACGGGTGTTACTGTTTATTTTATAGGCCAATCTATTATTAGGCTGAAAGGTGACTGTCCTCCATATTTATCAGAACAACATCCAAGGGGCTTCCCTAGCTAAAGAAGAGAATGAAAATCACTATTTCTAGTCAAAGTTTGGCTTAATTATTTTTGGAAATGTGTTTCCTCATGTATCATACAATATTTATTCAAGTATGATAAATTACAGACAAGTATTTTGTCAAGATAATAAAATCACACATACGGGCCTTAGAAATTCCATATGAGGTAAGACTAACTTAGATCGTATCCCATATGGTTTAGACAGTGAAGAATTAAAAAAAAAAAAAAAAAAAAACCTTGCTGTAATACTACCTCATTTATAAAATGGCTCCAAGGCAAAGATTCTAATGACAAATATTTGAGGTCATCCTCAAGTATATGGCAGGTTACCCTTCCGATTCCTGTAATTAAATCATAACTTACAACCGGGAAGGGTAGAAGAGGAAGGTAAAAATAAATTTAGTTCTGTTTCGATAAACGGAACCATACCACTATGAAATCTCACTCATGAATTAGGTTTTTGTAATTGAAACTTCAAAAAATAACTACCATTTATTGAACACTTGCTAAATTGAGCATCTTGGACAACTTATTTCATTAAACATCACAACAATCATATAAGGTGGGTCCTGGTGTCATCCCACAGGGCAGGAAACTAAGCTTAGAGAAGCTAACAAATAGGCGTCCTTCTGTCTGCAGAGACCAAGCATGGAACCAGTAGGCTAGATGGCCTCCATATGGGGAAGATGTTTTCATCTTTATTTTAAATATTTTTTTTATTGTTGTAAAACTATATATAACACAATATTTGGCAATTCAACATTTTTCATGTGTATAATTTAGTGATATCAATTACATTAATCATGTTGTGCAACCTATTTTAAGCCTTCTGTAAGAGCACAGACCTACCATTTTGATTTTATCTTACTCCTTACTCAGGAACTACAAGTCGTAATTTTTAAAATAATTAAGATATGGTAAGAGATTATTGATTCAGAATATCATGAATGAGAGAACTCAATATGTCAGATATATAATAATATATTTTAAGAGAAATTAAGTTTTATTTGAGCCACATACACAGCCAGCAAGTATAACCTGTCTGTTACTTTAGTGAACATTCAACTTTAGTATAATTAATGCCTCAGCCAATTAATGAAGTAAACATTCACGTGTGTTCTCCTAAGTAACAGATAGGTAGATAGATATTCCCCAGCACTTCTTTCCTTGCTTAGATAATCAATGGACAGGATACAGAACAACTAGTCCCATTACAAATTTGACACCAGGAATGTCTGAATGAATGTGGTTTTATGCCAACAAATAAATCTATACGCATCTATCCATGTAATATTAAAAAAAAAAAAAAAAAGCCATTGCTATCAAGTCAATTCCAACTCATAGCAACCCTATAGGACAGAGTAGAACTGTCCTACAAGGTTTGCAAGGAGCAGCTGGTGGATTCAAACTGCCCAGCTTTTGGTTAGCAGCCAAGCTCTTAACCACTGCACCAGCAGGACTCCTCCCATGTAAAATAGCACTTGTAAAAGCACTTATTTGTGAGCCTTCAGAGAAAGGAGTATGACCTTCCTCAGCTTTCCTTCTCAGAGTTTTCTCTGTTGGCATGGAAGAAAAGCGGGGACTCCTTTCTAGAAAGCGCTTTTGACAACAGAACAAGAGTTTGCATTGCTGCCAGCGAATAATCTGCCTTTTATAAGAGAAGGGAGGAAGTATCGGAAATGTAACCTTCACCTTGAACAATGTTGACTTTTCTTAGGGGTCATCTTAGAGAGTTTCAAAGGATGCCACCCCCACACCTAACCTAAAGACTTATATGGGAAACATTAGAGGGGCTTTGGAGTCCCTGGGTGGTGCAAACAGTTAATTCACTCGGCTGCTAACTGAAAGATTGGAGGTTCAAGTCCACCCAGAGACACCTCGGAAGAAAGGTCTGGCCATCTACTTCTGAAAAGTCAGCCATTGAAAACCCTACGGATCAAAGTTCTACGCTACACACATGAGATCACCATGAGTCAAAATTAACTTGATGACAACTGGTTTTTTGTTTAGAGGGGCTTTTAAATGCTTCTTATATAAAAAAGACAAAAGACAATAGTTCTATCATCCTCTTCTTATATTGTTGGATCCCACTTCCTTAATATGAAATTAGTTGCTCTCTTATGCAATGGAAGATGTAGTTATTGTAACATTACTGGGCTTGTTTTGTGTTTTGTTTTTTCCCTAGAGGATGAAACAGCAATGTCTCAGCAATGACCTGAATCGCTACTTAAAACCTTCTCGTGGAAAAGAGAGCTAACATCAATTGAGTGTCTACCACATGCTGAAAAATGTACCGAGTTTTTTATGAGCTTATCTAATTTACTTCTTACAACTACCCAGTTAGGCAAGTATCTCCATTTTATAGATGAAAAAATTAAGGTCCAGGGGATTTGAGCAATCTGCTCGGTGCCTGCTGGTTGGTATATAATAAAACTGACCTAACCCATCTGCCCAACCCAAAACTTCTTTCCACTCTAAACCCTTACTCAGTAAAGGACTCATTTTGTTTCCTGGTGAGAGCTGAACGCTGTCTGTTTTCCTTGTCATCTAAATATGTGCTTTCCTCTTTCAAACTATGCCTCACTTGCTGTGTAAATTTTTGAAGAGAAATAAAAACAAGAAAATACCAGAGACTGCATTGCCCTTCCAATCTCCCATGCTGTATCCTGCATCACAGAGGGCAAATGTCCCCAGAAAGTCATCCGGAACAAAGAAAGAACTGAGACAGAGGCGGGGACTGGACATTTGTTTGCCCTGCTCCTGGGACATTTATCATCTTTCCTCTGACAAACATGGTGCTTTCTCTCCATGGTCTCCATATTCTAACAAGTGTTTAGACCCAAGACACAAATGAGATATATAGGACTTCACATCTAAAGATAAGCACTCACTAGCAAATGGTGTATATCCACCAACAAGGCCAAAAGAGCACCAAAAGCTGACCAACATACACATCAAGCCTTCTTTTCCTAATTGGGAAGGCAAAGTGAAAGTAGGTCTCTCTCTCTCTGTCTATCTGTCTTTAATTCTTAATCTAGTACTTTGAAAAGGGGGCTTCCCTTTTTCTATATATTTCCTCTCCCTAGTGGTGTCCCGAACAATACTTAAATCTAATTTTTGTCTGAGAAGTAGATAGAATTTCCAGTCTTTGAAGACCACATCTGAGGGATTACATACTTTATGAGGATGAGATTCCAACTCGGATTTCTCGAACAGCAAGAGTCCCGGATCATCTTAAGGCTAGACTCCTGTAAACTGTAGTCACAAAGAAGGGATCTAATACGTGTTTAAACACCAGAGGACTCAATCTTTCCTTTAATTCCATTACCAAACTTGATTCAACCAAATTCACTTCATCGGATGAATTTATAAAATATAGGCTAATAACTTTTTTTCAAAAAAGGGGAAGAAATTGTGCCCCGTCAATAAAACTAATCACACCATGAATAAACTACTCCGCCCGGCACTGCTACATAACACTACTCCCCATCACACACACACCATCCATTTAGCTGTTCTTGAAGAAAAATGTTATCAACACAATTAAGACATGTCAACACTTACCTTTCTGTAAGGAAATAGCAAAAAGGCTGTTAAAAGTTGTTTTCTTCCATTCGGTTGCTGAGACTCTTGCTGAGACTTGAGTATCTCCCGGGCCGGGGGGCTGCTCCTACGGCGCTGCTCTGTCTTCTCTGGCCTCTCCCTTCACCGTCAGTCAAACATTAACCACAGTTGTGCTTTATTGATTGTCAGCAACCATCAGAAGTCATAAAAGGTATCACTACATTCGTTCCAGGAAAGAAATAGGTTTGTACCAAAGGAAGTTAACTCACATCTAATATATCTCAAAGCAGGTTTTTAAATTTTTGAACACAGATAAGAAAACTAGAAGACAAGGGAAGTTAAAGTGGAAAATTTTCTGTCTTCAAGTATCTCTAGAGTGTGAGATACTTGAAGACAGTTTTATTCATATTTTGCACCCCTGAAGCTTAGCACAGTGTCTGCACAGAAAACACAGTCAACAAATATTTGTGGAGATACCACTGCCTCCAACACAAAAGGCAGAGCACAGGGTCCAAGTCTGAGCAATGACGCAGTTCACTGATAACCAGCCACAGAGACATTGTAAATGACTCAGAAGTTGCAACCAAAGACACAATCAGGCTACACCCGCTTCTGAAAATCAAGGGCTCCCTTCAAAGTCTGTAGGAAACAACCAACAGTTACCTTTTCCCAAAGACACACCAAATCTTTTATTTTTTCACAATTCAGAGAATGGATTCACCAAAGAGCAATGTTTTGTTCTTCTCATTCGAAATGAAGTTTCTGGTTACATAAAAGCCAGTACCCTCAGATTTCTTAGGTCCAGGTCTCTTTTAGACAACTGAGCCTGATCCTCAAATTTCAGTAGCTCTGGGAATCCACCCCAAACATGAGCATCAATGTCATGTTAGTGTCTTTTGTGTCTAATGTGCCACACTTGGCTCTGTTTCTGTTACCCCTCTGATGTTTATTTCTGGGCTCCTCCAGAGCTGGGTGGTATTTTCCATTTGTCCTCTAGCTGTGCGTGTAACACTGTAAAAGCAAAGAGTGTAACCCACTCTCTAGGTGGGCTCCCTCGTTCCCAGATCCCATGAGAAGGCTTCATGGTGGCTCTAAGCCAGTGGTTGGAATAGACCTCATTTACCTTAAACTGTTGCCTTTGAGTCGATTCCAACCCCTAGTGACCCTATAGGACAGAGTAGAACTGCCCCATAGGGTTTCCAAGCAGTGACTGGTGAGTCTGAACTGCTGACTTTTTGGTTAGTAGCTGAGCTCTTAACTACTGCACCACCAGGGCTCCCCTATAACCTAAGCACAGCTGGAAACCAAACCCAAATCCCTTGCTGTCTAATCGATTCTGGCTTGTAGCAACCCTATAAGACAGAGTAGAATTGCCGTATAGGGTTTCCAGGGAGTGACTGCTGGATTTGAACTGCTGACTTTTTGGTTAGCAGCCAAGTTCTTAACCACTACACCACCATCTAATTGCATGCTTGTGGTTAGCACACTTGGTAAACCAGCAGGTCCAGGAAGGGTCCCTCTTGCTTTGTCTCACAGCCAGCATCTCTACGTTTAGGGAAATGAGGTCAGTGAGACTAAACGCTTCTCAAATTCTTGCACCTCTGCCCTTCCATTAACTGAATAAAACTACCTTGTTCTACAAAATCAAATCGCTTTCATTTGCCACGTGTTTCACTTCCTGGAATCAATGGCAAGCATCTCACGGCATTTCCCCGAAAGGAGTTTGCTTCTTCTTTGGAAACTTTTTAATAATATGTGTAATTTATAAAGTAAAAAAAAACAAAGTGCATGTATGCATTATTTTTAATCATGTTATTGATTTTTAGCAACGTTGTGCAACTATGTTCATGGCATACTGGCATAAAAAAAAAAACAACTCGTTGTCATCGAGTCAATTCCGACTCATAGCGACCCTATACGACAAGGTAGAACTGCCCCATAGAGTTTCCAAGGAGAGTCTGGTAGATTCAAACTGCTGACCTTTTGATTAGCAGCTGTAGCTCTTAACCACTATGCCACCAGGCTTTGCCATATTGGCATATTGGTTAAAAATATATGTTTTCTCATTTAATCTTTACAAAATGTCTATGAAGTAGATTCTGGCTTATAGATAAGAAAATGAAGGCACAGAGAGTTTTACCTCTTGCCCAAATCACATAGCCTGTGACCACAGAATCAGGACTCCAACCCCAATCTGTTGGACTCAAAGCCCAACCTATTCGCCACAACTATAGGGTCTGCCTAGTTATTTTCCTTCTACCTCCATGTGGATAAAAAATTTCATCCCTCTGTGTGAAGACCATTCTTGTTGGAAGATGGTGAGTGGAGCCCAGTTCCTAAATTGGGTTGCCCTTGTACATTTTATGCCATTTTTAGCCTCTAGTGTCCAAGTCAGAGAATCAGATTGATTAAACTTTGAAAAGGCCAAAACCACCCATCAGAGAAATTAATAGATGATTCCCTTGTTGCCTCTGAGTGGATTCTGACTCATAGCTACCCTATAGGACAGAGTAGAATGTCCCACAGGGTTTCCAAGGGGCTTCTGGTGGATTCAAACTTCCACCTAGCAGCCAAAAGCTTAACCACTGTGCCACCAGGGCCCAAACAGGTGATTATATTTCTGAATTATGAAAGCTTTTTCTGCACTGTCTGGGATAACAGGTTGTCATGGTTCAGAGTTATGTGTTTCATCCTTTAAACACTATTCCTAATTAAATCGAAAGATTAACAGCATGTATGTTCTGCCCTGTCTGCATTTTAGAAATGTATTTTCATGCAAAAATGAGACATTTCAAGTCCAATAGTTCAATACTAACTCAATAATATGAATAACAGGGAAAACATGATTGGTAAAAGTTACTGGTTCCCTTTTTCAGACAAAAGATGCAAATGATTTATGTGATGGAAATAAGTAAACAATTAAAAGGGTTTGGGAAAATGTCTCTAACAGTTCCATGACATTGAAAACATTTTAGCACTTTTGTCTATAAAAATTTTATAACCATTCCTCCAACATTAACCCTAGAAAATATATCAGTAATGTTTAATTATGGGCAGTGCTACTTAGCAAGGGATAAAGTCTGGATAGCCTCCCAGACAAAAACTTTGTAAAAACTTGGAATTTTTCTTAAAATTAAAAATGTTATAGCCTAGGAAACCCTATGAAGCAGTTCTACTCTGTCCTACAGGGTCACTATGAATCAGAGTCGACTTGACAGCACACAACCTACCCATATTTTACAATTTTTGTTCCACATTTATTTAATAGAATGAGGTGAAACTAATTTTCTCTTAGTGAATGTTTTAAGCTGAAGCAAAATCTTCCCTAATTATTTCTATTAGCCAAGACAGTGTCCATTTTCTGATAAATTTAAGCAAACTAGCTCCCACTTTTATGTAGCTCTTATATTTGTTTCTGTTTTTTGTCTTGTTTGGTGTTTTTTGCAGTTTTCCAAGTTAGAACACTTCAGAGGAATCATTAAAGGGTTCAAAATTCAGATAACAAAAAAAAAAAAAAAAAATCACTACTTCCAGGTAAGAAACACTGAACCATAAATAATGCTGTTCCAAAATCCTAGCTGATAGCCACCATAGACTTCCTAAAAATATTCTGCAAAGATAGTTTGATGTCACTCTTACTTAAGATCCTGGTGAAGAACCAGATGATATCTGGTGGAAAACCAGCACCGTGAGTTTAAAGAGCCTGCAATGGCCACCGTTTAGGAGCTCAACTAAGTTCAGGTATTGATCAATGATGTATTATCTCCAGTCAACAGAAGGGAATGATTTAGAAAATAATGTTTGAATCATTATTCCCTGTCCTTGAGCATAGAGAATGTGACCCAGCTGGAGCTGGGCTCACAAGGGTTCACAAGGACTCACCAGGACTCACCAGGACTCACCAGGACTCACCAGGACCCATCAACTCAGCCCTGAGGTATAAAGACAATAACTAAGATAATCTTGGAAAATACCTTTTAGGGAACCTTTCACACAAACCAGTCAAACAGAATACAAGACTTTCCACTCTTACCTTTTTCTATTAACATTTAGTCAATAGAAAATTTGTTGGACCAATGAAGACCCTCCTGACTGTTGTTACCAAAACCTGTACCAATGATTGTTAAGAAAGGCAATTCAAAACGTAGGATCACAGTTTCTAGCCAGTCTTGTGAAAAGGTGAAGTTTTCAATGGTTTGGCCCATTCTGTAAAGTTAATACTTACTGATAACTCTGTAATATTTCCCTGGACTTGGGCACACACGGCTGTGGCAGCATGCTTGTCCATTTTCCCACTTTTGTCTATTCTATAGTATTTCCTTGGATTCAAGCAGACATTGGCTTTGGTAGCATATTTGTCCACTTCTCAACTTTTCCTTTTTGAATATATTTCGGAAAAAAACTTTCTTTTTGCTTTA